GGGGGGGGGGGGGCATCCAGGAAACTAATGGAAGAGTTTCGGAAGAAGTTCTTTCACACAGAAACATCATGCAAACTCATTCCCATGCAAGGGAGAGACAATCATCCAGACGCATCATCATTCAAAGATAGGGGGAGGTGAGGGAGGAGAGTCGAGATGGGAGATAACACAATCCAAAAGAAGGAAGTTCAGCGTTGCCGCCGTGCACTCACACCAGAAAAAGAATCTGCAACAATAAAGGCGCATTCGCCGTTAATTCCAATATGGCCCCGGGCCAATCACAACTCCACTCATCGAACATCATACCCGCACCGACGATCCCGGCCGTCGCGTGCTAACTGCCACCACTGCGATCGTCACCCCGCTGACTTAAACTCGACGCGGTTCGCCCAGATCCCAAAGTCCGTCGTGGTSATCAAGCGCGCAAYCGGCCAGCCTATCGTCRGCCCGACARGACTTTCCGACTCGCACCAATCTACTCTGCCTAGCCACTGCTTCMCRGAAGCTGGCTTAGAAGTTGAGAACGTAAGAGAGATTTGCGGACRCGCTTGCGGGTTTTATAGTTGCAACAGGGGAGATAGAAGGGGGAGAAGGCGACAGGAAAGTTGAGGTGTAAGAGGAGAAGCAGGAGGAGAAGACTTTGAGAAGAGTGCTCTACGAACGCCATGTTGATCCCTCGGAACTCAAGGTTCAACCAATCAGATTCGTCGCGCAATAGGAAGGTCCTATCGATCCACGCACCTGATTGGCGAGCGGGAGTTATCGGGGAATCGAGCGGGTGTCGTACGCCAGACTCAGAGGGTGAGAAGAGAAAAGGCGCGAGAGGTGGCGCAAGACGGGTCCAAGATTCAGACGATCAAGAAAGGGAAATGGGCGCGTGAAAGCAAGGCGGGAGAGAGAGAGAGGGAGAAGGAAAAACAGTTACGGGGAGAGAGAGAAAGAAGGGAGAAGGGAAGGGAGGCACGGGAGGGAGCGATGTGGGGGACAAAGAGGAGGAAGCTTTTGCATGCACGGTGCCATCAACAAAAAGGAAAAAAGGCACCGAAACAGTTAGTTACATCTTGCTTCTATCCTAATTCAAAATGGAAACCACCATATCCGCGCGAGAAAAAGCGACGCGGGAAAACAAAATCCTACGCCTATTCGTACTCACGTAAAATTCCGAGAGTTTTCCCTGATGCACCCAAGCACATTCACACACCCAAAAAGGACACGTCGAAGTTCCGCCTATCCCGGAATTCCCAACTACCGAACCAAATTCCTAGTGCGCTCGCTAAGGCGCACGTAAATTCCCATGAATTTCCCGACTTTGCAAAAAGAAAAACAGGACTCAGCAGTCGGAAAAAAACTCTCAAAAAAAGAAAATGCGGCCCCCGAAAGCAAGAACTCAAAACGGGGTTTTCCTGGGGTTGGTATGATACAAGCAAAAGAAAGGGTACGAAAGATGGCACGGGGTCGGGAAGTGGTTCGTCACATATGTGACGCGCAGGGGGTTCCAAAATTATGCGATCTCCTGATTGCATGTCATGGCGAAGAAGAAGAGGGGAGAACAGAGTGATGCATGAGTGATGCATGAGGAACCAAGCGTATCAACAGAGCAGAAAAGAAGTACAAGGAACGCTAACTGGGCCGCGGATGAGATGGCGACAACATCCGTGGCAAGATCTCTGTAGCCCTATCATATGGAACCCTCTGCCTCGTGGAGATCGTCCAGGTGACGCCATCATGGTCCATCCGATCTCCGTGTGCTCTGCACCCCTGCTCGTTGCTGTCCGTCGAATCAGCGCATAGGTTGATGTCATCATCGATGGCGTGATCTTCGCGAAGCTTACTGATTCGTGCCGATGGAGGGAGGAGAGAGGGGGGGGGGGGTTAGGTGAAAGGGGATCTACCACTGCCTAGTTGGGATAGGCCAGTAGGGGCGGTACATGTCGGGGATCTGGCGGGGTTGACGGGGAGGGAGTGGGGGTAGGAAGCGATTCATCCCTTCCATAGTCACCGGGAGCTCCTCATATTGGATGATTCGGTGGAAGCGGGGGAAATGATCGCCACTGCGGGGGAGGGAAGCGAGGTAATTGCGATAGAAGGAGGAGAGGGTGCGGAAAAGCGCCGCTCGGAAGATCTCGAAGTGGCGACAGGCGGGGATTGTCCCCGTGGCAACGCAGTAGACCTCTACCACGTTGGATTGCTCCCATGCAGCGCTGAACAGCAGGAGATGCCAGCAAAACGTGGGAGCATCGGATCGAAGGGAGGCGTGGGGGTGGATGGTGGCGAGTAGACGGGTGGAGTAGAATTCACGGAAGAGATGTGGATGGAAAGGATGGGAAGGGAAGGTGACGGGGGTACGGATCTGCTCGAGGGTGAGGAAATGAAGGGGTCGGCGGAACAGCGTCCGAGGACGAAGGCCTATCGCCCGCATCGGTACGTGGGCGAACTGGGGGACGGGTGGGGCTGGAGGAGGAGGGGGATCGGCGCCGTCTCCGTCGCGCGGCACTTGAGGTGGTGGCTGCAGGGTCGCCATCTCCGGGCTTCGACGGCTCTGGTTCCCGGGTCGGATCGTTACCAAAGCGCAGGCTAGCTTTGTTGGCGAACTCATGCTGGCGCTTTCCGGAGGCAATTTCTTCGCGCTGTCGTGCCACTTCCCGATCTTCCACCTCCGTTCCCGTACGCGTTGCTTCTTCCGGCGGGGCTTCCCGCCCGGATCCGGCTCCTTCTTCTTCCTCTTCCTCCTTACTCAGCTCGCCCTCGCTATGTTCAGTATAGTTTCCCTCCTCCGATGTTTCCTCGTTGTCGCCTTCTTCTTCGTCGTCGTCGATGATCGGCGCTTCTTCTGCCCTCGGGTAGAAGGCGTAGGGGATCTCGTACGGCTTGAGATACTTCTGCTGCGATGGTAGTGTATCCTCGTCGCTAGGGTCCGACAAGCACGAAGTCCACTGACGGTACGGATCCAAGGATCGCTCGAAAATGTACGGAGCAGGACTGTTGTCACTCTGAAAGTAGATGTCGGGCGAGAGGTCGTTCGCCAATTGTACGATCGGTGCGATGAGCTCCTGTGCAATCAACTGACGGCGACCTGGTTGCACCGATCCAAAGAGGAATCCAATAAGATCTCCTTCCTCGTTAGTCCTACCATGTATGATCAGCAATTCCGGGTTCTCGGTCCACGTGGGGTACTCGATAGTGCCCGCCCACTTCACTTGTATTTGGGCCAAGCAGAAGGACAACTCCTCAAAAGTTTCGCGCCACAACCGCCAATATCCAGGGTTGATAAAAGGGACCGAAAGAGGCTCGAATGAGAAGGAGAGAGAAGGGTGAAGATCGGATTGCCAAAAGGTGGGGAAGAGAGAGGGAAGACCAAAGATAGAGAGAGGAGCGAGGAGATGGGCGTGGGGGTTCATTGGGGACGGGGGAAGGGAACGATGGCAGGAATCACAACAGGCCGCTCGCTCGGTGATTGGCGAATACCGTCAATATCCGCTGCAGAGATCGGAATGATGTTATACCCTTCGCAGGCGAGGACGTGCTGCCACACATTGGACACTTGCTGCGTCCACTCACGCAACGAGGCCAAGATCTCGGTATGCCTCAGCGGATTGACCGAGCTGATGTCGCCGGTGAATCCCGCCATTGTGGTGACGTGGCTCGTTCTGGGACCCGCTCGCTGATAAATTGCAGTAACCTCCGCGAATACTATCGCGTGAGGGCTTCCTTTTATCCGAAATGCGGCGGCGGCACATACACCTTCGTCGCAGAAGAGTCGCATCACACGGCGGAGATCCGTATTGAGCCGAGGGTGACAAACTTGCCGAATTTCTAAGAGGTGACCACGTGGCTGCCGCAGCTGTAAGTCAAGAACCCGCTCCGTGATAAAACTCATGGCGAGGTCGGAGAGGAGGATGAGGGACAAGAGGAGGGAGAAAGAGGATAGAGGGTTAGATCGTCGTCGTTTTCCTCGCTTTTCGAGGAAGAAGAGGGAGGAAGATCGGAAGGAGGAAGGAGACGGAGGTAGGAGGTATGTCGGACGATGGGGACGGAGCTATGGCTCGCGCTAGCCTCTGGTGCGATGCGCACCGTGTTGGCGACGTTGGGTCCGAGTTCGATAACACGAAAACAGCCAGAGAACTTGGGAGCGAGTTTCCGGTCGCGTGCACGTTTACGTACCTGCACTAGGTCCCCCAATTTATATTTGGTACTGGGGCCCAGGATTCCCGTTCCGAGCCTCATAGCTGCGGACCTGTCTACCGTGGGCGAGTTCGGTCATCCTTTGCCTTTTCCGGGCTAGCTTTGGAACGGTCCGTTCCATTAAGTCAGCGAACCTCTTGGCCTTGGCTTTGAAGGCCGCACACGTGTCTCTGCCCCGTGCTTCGACAATTTTCGAGTTACCCCGGTAATCGACACAGGGGAGGCTATTAGTTCGAAGTTGAAAGGGGGTGAACCCCGTGGATTCGTGAGGGGTGACCCGGTGGATCCCAACGATCTGATATACAATGTCGAGCCAAGGACGCGTGTCGTGTGCCGCTAAGTTCCTGCGAAGGGCGGTTTTAATCATACGGTTGGCATTCTCGGCCAACCCGCTCGACTGAGACACGTGGGGTGCCGTATGTCGGAGCGTGACGCCCCTTCGCGCAAGTAGTTCTTCCACCTCACCTTTAAATTCAGATCCATTATCGGTTAGAATTTCTTCCGTATCTAGATGGGTATAGAGGAACCGTTCGATATACGTGGCTATTTCTGCAGCTTTTCGGGTCTTACAGGGATAGACTTCGATGTATTTGGAAAAGTGGTCGATTAATATGCACAGCGGTTTGGGCCAGGTGGCACGTCAATATCGGTCGTGTCCATACTGACTCGCTGGAAAGGACGCTCTACTTCCGTTGGTACGATCGTGTTTGGTCCCCGTATAGGGGCGCGATCAGCGACATAGACCAGACAGTTAGCGACAATGTATTTGACATCATCTCGTTTATTGGACCAGAACCATCGGTTCTGGTCTACAGTTGCCTCCGTGACGCGTATCGCGAAATGGGCGGCCTTTTTCTTGTGAGCAGATCGGATCCAATTGTATCTCTGGAAGGGATGGGGAACTGCCAGCCACAAACCCGATCCGTCAGTTTTACGCTTTTCTAAATGACCGTTGATCCATCGATAGTCCCGAGATCTCTTAGTTGCCCTACGTCTGTCGTGTTTGGTGAGGTGGCCCAAAGATAATCCTGCTAATTTTGCCAATAGAATTTTATCTGTCCAAACCTCCGCTCGTCGGTATTTTTCGTCGTATTCAGGTCTGTCCGTACGGGCGGCCTCGAATCGAACCTTCGTGGGGAGTTTGTTCGTTCTACATAGGGGGCACCTCCATTCCTTGCTACTTGTCCGATATCGTACGCAGGCCCCGTGCGCACGATTGACACACGTGGCACATCCTACCCAATTGACAAACCCAGTTTCGAAGGGATGACAGTCGACCAAATTTGTCGGGGAGGGTGGCAAAGAAAGCTGAGGAAGTAAGAGGGGCAGAATCAACGGTTGATCCTTGCGTAGGAGATTTGTGAGGGGTCCCGCAATCGCCGCGAAGCCCTTGATAAATCTTCGGTAAAACGAGGCTAGGCCCAGAAAGGCGCGAACTTGCGTGATAGTAGTAGGCACTGGCGCGTCCCTGACAGCTGCCACCTTCTGCGGCTCTGGTTGGAGTCCTTTGTTTGTCACCACGTGCCCCAGGAAGGAAATGGTGGTGAGAAAAAACCGACTCTTCTCAAGCGCCACCTTGAAACCGGCATCTCGTAACGCATGCAGTGTCCATTCGATGTGCTGCACGTGTCCTTCATAGGAGCTCGAATACACCAAGATGTCATCCATGTACACAATCACGCAGTAGTTGATGATGCTCTGTGCCAAACGAGTTTTCCGTACGAAGTTCTGAAAGGCCATATTCATGGCTCGCTGAAAAGTTGCAGGGGCATTGCAAATACCCATCGGACATCGAATCCATTGCCACGTGCCTTCGAAAAGCACAAACGCTGTTTTTGGTCGATCTTCCTCTCGGACAAGAAGATGATGGAACCCATGACGAACATCAAACTTGCTGAAAAATCGAGCACTCCCATCGCATCCAATAACTCGTCAATCCGGGGGAGGGGATACACATCTTTAATCGTGATATCATTCAGCTTTCGATAATCAATGCAAATGCGAATCCCTCCAGCCTTCTTAGGTACGATCACTACAGGGAAGGACCATGGTCCTATAGCGGGTTCGATCCATCCATTAGCTTCGAACTCCTTAATCCGCTGAAAGGCGGCCGCTCGTTGAGCTGGCGAGTATCGGTAGGGAGCGCAGCTAATGGGCAGATGATC